TTGTTCTTGTCTCATAATTTAAGTTATTAGTTTGATCAGTTAATCTTAATTAACACAAATTATTTTTTTGTATTTTTTCATTGATTTTTTTTAATTTTATTTCTCAACACTAGATTTATTAAAAATTAAATTTCATATTTTATTTTAATTTTTTTTTATTGGACTGTCCTGATCTCATTATCCAAGTCATAAGTTTGACATGTTGACTTAAATTATTTTTATAAATCTTCTTTTCAATTAACTTTTTTTTTCAATTCATTATTTAGCATTAAGGATTTTTTTATTAAATTAAGCTTCATAATTTTTTTTCTACGATGATATTATGATCTTATGACTTGATATGTTGACTTCCAAGTTAACTTAAGATGACTCGAAGCAAACAAATATATTGTCGTCTTCATTTTTACATATATAAAAAATATTATCTTAAATATTTATTTTGAATCAAACTATGTTTTTATCGGTCATCTAAAATATTTTGAGACCTGTTAAAAAGAATGAGTCATATTATATCAATCCTCACATAGTTTAAATTTGTTTATACTAAAAAAAATTGAAAACACTTTGATTTTCTTATGTTAAAAAAAATGATTCAACCCGTAATATAGTGCATCCTAATTATAATAACTTAGTATTTTGAATAAAAAATTACTTTGAAATTATTAAAAATAAAGAGCAAAAAATCTTTTTGAAATAAAGATAATAATAATAATATTTTTAAATAGATCCCATATAAAATTATTTAGATCATTAAATCACTTAAATCATCCAAAATAATAGTGAATAGGCTCACCTAATCAAATATCTTTACAAATAAGCACTAGATAATTTTAATTTATAAATTAATAATTATAATTTCATTAATCTTAACAAAAAAAACTAAAAAAAGTGGTGAGGATTTATGGTACCATTCTTCTCAAAACACTATTCACTAGAATAGTGTTTTTTTTTCATGGAATCATTTTTTATGTTTTTTAATTAATTATTTTCAATTTTATTATTTAATACTAGGTTAAATGAGAATTAGACTTCATAATTTATTTTGATTTATTTTTTATTGAATTTATTTTGGTCTCATAACTTTTCATGTGAACGCTAAATCCACCATCAATTTTTTATGCCTTTTTCATATTGGTCTAGTTACTTCAATCTTGTACTTGTTCAACAAATTTAAATAGATTGTCATTTAGTTTAGCTCTAAAAAGATGCAATTATTTAAAAAATAAAAAAAATAGACATGTGAATTCATAATGAAACATGAGAGAATAAATAATAATTTTTGTTACAATAAATCTTTCATCCTTTTTTAGTGTTTTTTATAATAGTATTTATAATATGAGTCCTTTATTCAGAAGTGCATTGCATGTATGCATACAAAGAGATTATAACAAAATGATATTTTTGAGGTTGTGAACCTTAAAAGTTTATCAAAAAATATAATTGAATGAACATGATTTGAATAGTACTAGCCATTTAACCCGCTTTGTTTTTGTCAAAAACCAATATTGGGTATGTATGTTGCTTCAATGTGTTTTTTTATATTAAAACAATTCAAGTCTATGCAAATATCTAATTAAATAAATTAATGATAATTTATTTAAATAAAAAATATCATTAACAATAACTAAGAAAAAAACTTTAAAAAATAAGAGATGAAAGCAAATCAAGATATTCAATCACATAAATGAGTTATTCAATCAATTATGTTTATTGAACTTATTTATTTAAATCAATAAAGATAAATTCACACTCTAAAAAACTTCGGACTTAATAGATGATAAATGCAAATGAAACTAACTAAATAAAACTCATGCCATAAAAATATTACATAAGGAAAAACACATCAACAATATTTTTTAAAAATAAATATTATTTATTATAAAAAAATAAAATTCATTTGTATATAAAAATATATAGATAAATTAGAATAATACCTTGAAAAATAAAACAGAAACATAACAACTTAAAAAAAAATATATTAAAAAAAGATATGCAAAACACGTGATGTAGGTTATGAGAGTGGAATAAAATCATAGAAAAAACTTAAAGACAATCACAAAATAAATACTATAAAAAAAATTAATGTAGAACAATAAAATCGTACAAAGTCAAATCCGTAACAAATTAAATGTTAAAAGATAAAATTATAAGAAAAAAATCAATTACACAAAAAGATATAAGAAAATGAGGGTGAAAAAAAATATTAATTAGAGGGATTCAAATTTTCAATTGGAGAGTTAAATTGAATTTAAAAATAGCTTTGATAAAAAGAAAAACAAATCAAAAGAATGGAGGTCAATCTAAAAAAAATAAAACAAAAAAATTGATTGAATGATGAAATTAAAAGAAAAAAACAACTTCAACAAAAGTGCCAAGGAAAAATTGAAAAAAAAGAGCAAAATAAAAAAAATATATAAGAAATTACAATTGAAAGGCTAAAAATTCTATAAATGAAATATGAACTGAATAATAAATTAAAAGAATATGACTGAAATGTTTAAAATAAACATATGAGAAATTTCAATTAAAGGAGTAAGGTGAAAAGAAAAAAAATCTATAAATTGAAAAAAAATGATATAATAAATTAAAAGAATAATAAATGAAATTAAAAGGTAAGAAAAAAAATGAGAAAATTTTTGTAGATTACCTATTAAGAGAAAAAAACTAAAGGAAGAAATTAAACAATCATAGAGGACAATTCAATCACCATAAGATGATATATATCACTTCATATGAAAAAGAATATAATAGTGTACTATAGAGATGATAGAAGACCAATTTCAAGCATATAATGACACTTAAATGACATAGATAGAACTTAGTTGTTAACGTGTATTGAGTGTGTATTAACAACTTTTCTAATTTTAAAATAATAAAAAAATAATAAAAATAACCCTTGTGACTCTGACAATTACAAAAAAATATCTGTGTGAAAATATAGTACAAATTTAATTATTATATTTTTTAATATTAAAGATGGACTTTTATTATATATGGATTTTTGAAAATCCTAAAAAACCCGAATCCAGCAGCCTAATAATTTTTTTGATCTTAGAAAAAATAAATATTTTTATTGTTAAGAAGCTTGTAAAAAGTCAAGAAGGCTCTTGGTAAACAATTTTAATTTTTATTGATTTTTTAAGAAAAAAATATTTTTACAGTGCTGAAAAATTAAAAAAGATGTAAATATCCTGTAGAATGGACAGTAAAAAAGAACAAAGCATTCTCACTCTGAAGACTACGTCCTTTTCTGGTCATGAGTTTTAGTGTTTTTGTTAAATATCCACAAGGGATCATACGAGGGAAATTGAAAAAAAGAAAAAGAAGAGAGGATAAAAAGATGTAAGAACGCGAAAGCACAACTATAATGGATTGTACTTAACCTAATCTTTCGAGCAATTATGCAAATGAAGCCATGTTTGTTGTTCGGAAATTCTAATGCAAGACAAAAGCATGTGCCAAACCGGCCACTTTCACTGCTGTAATTGTTGTAAGCATATGGCCGACACCATTGGATTCATTAAACAGTACTCTATGATCTACAAGTCTACCATAGAGTACTGCCACAAAAAATCCGAGAGAGTGGCTTGTCCTGCCTCTTATGTACTTCTTCGTATGAAGATTTTTTTCTCTCCAAGGAAATTGCATACTTCATTTGATAGGTGTCTACAATCATGATTTAAGATTTGATTTTTGAAAGAGATCGATAGTAAATTGTTCCTTATAGTACAATATTCTAATGTGAATATATTACATTTTTAAAATCAATGTTATTAAATATAATATGATGTGACAAATTAATCCGGTGGCTCATTAACTCAGAACGTGATACAGATAATGTTTAACCCGATTAATTTATAACCTGATTAATTTTATTAGAATTCTATTTAATTTTAAAAAAATTAAAATGATATTTTTTATTTAAAAAATTTAAAATAATATTATTTTAAATTGATATAAATCAATTTACATAATTCGTAATTCGGGCCTCAACTAGTTACAGTTCATGTACCGGGAAGATAATAATCTGAACACTTGAAAATTGATATATGAGTATTTGTTACCATCAAAGGTTTTATCTAATTAAGAAAATGATATAAAATATTAAGAAATGTAATTAAAAAGATAATTCAATTGAGATAATAATTAAAAAAATCAAAATAAAAAAATAAAGATCAAATTTAAAACCAGTAAAAAATTAAATGAGGATTGATCAATTGAAATTTCTTTTGTTTGTATGGAAAATCTAAAATAAAATAAATAAAAATAAAAATAAAAATAACATAAATTAAATCTAAAAGTAAAATAAATTGAAGGGTTTTTTTTTTAATACAAAGGAATTGACTCTGAAACCAAGTAAAAAAATGAAAAAAAAATAATAAAAACTCATCGATGAAAAACCTAATATGTTTTTGTCATACCCGCCATATAAAAATGAGGTAATATTATAAGGATTAAAATACCGTCGTAAAAACTAAATTTTAAACATTGAACAACAATGTATGCACCTTCTGAATACCATGAAAGAACCCACATGTGTTCAAATGATATCATGCCTAGTATATTTTTTAAAATTAAATAATATTTATAATAAAATACTTGAATATTTTTTATTAAACTCTATAATAAAAAAAATAACTAGATCAAAAAAGATAAAAAAAATAAATTAAAAAAATTAGAACTAACCTTGTTCGTTGGTAATTTTTTCCCCTCCAGGGGCATATTAATTATTTTATTGTTCAGTAAACAAAAAAATACTATTATATCCTGCAGCAAAGACTATTTGTGGGCTTTTGTCAAGGGCAAAATCATCTTTTTAATGACAACAAGCTTGGAGCATGAGTGAAAATGGCTACAGTCAATCTACTATCTTTTTAATTAATAATATTATGGTGCATGTAAGCTGTACCAATAATTCATGTAAATCAAAAAAAAAAAAAACATCTATAAGAATGCTAGCATGCATGACTTAAGCTTCATATTCACTTGAGAACTCAGTAAAGTAAGGAGACACGATGGCTAAGTTTGCTGTGGCTAATCTCTTGATCCTTCTTTTGAACTTGGGTGCTTTGCTTACTTCAATTGCTTGTCCTTCTTGCCCTAAACCACCAAAGCGTCCTCCAATAAAGCCACCAAAGCCTCCTGTGACTCCCCCAATAAAGCCACCAAAGCCTCCTATAAAGCCACCAAAGCCTCCAGTGACTCCTCCAGTAATACCAACACCACCAATTCTTCCTCCACCAGAGCCTCCAGTAATACCAACACCACCAATCGTGAAGCCACCACCAACACCACCAAAGCAAGAGACTTGCCCCATTGACACTCTCAAGTTAGGCGCATGTGTGGATGTCCTAGGTGGACTAATCCACGTTGGTATTGGCAGTAGTGCCAAGGATGAATGCTGCCCACTGCTGGAAGGTCTTGTAGACTTGGATGCTGCTTTATGCCTTTGCACCGCTATCAAGGCTAAACTTCTCAACATCAATCTTATTATACCCATTGCTCTTGAGCTCCTTGTTGACTGTGGCAAGACCCCACCTGAAGGGTTCAAGTGTCCTTCCTAATTATATAATAGGTACTGCCTAGCTTCAATCTTCAGGATTTTGCTATATACATATATATAATTTTTTCTTGATTTTGAGTAGATGTTCAGTTAATTAGAAAAATACTAATTCATAGTTTGTATTCTATGTTCGATCATTGCAGGTTGTGGTGTAACACACAGACGATACATGTGTGTGGGCTTGAAAGCATAAAGAATAACTGCACTAGCTAGGGATCTTCATGTGTCTAACTGCGCGAGAGATCTTCAAGTGGCTAGAATGAAGCATGCTTCAATAGGATATCCTATGTTTTGATCTCCTAGTGGATTTTCTTATGTTCCTTTTTCCCCTTTACGATATAATATACTGTCTAAATTTGCTTTGCTTATTATGCATTATACTCTGTCGCGGAGCCGGGGTTTATTTTATTTACACGTGACTCGCTTATAATTTAGGGACTGTTTGTTTTCCCAAAGTGTTCTTTGAAAAAAATTTATTTTATTTTAAATTAATATTTATTTTTATGTTTTCATATCATTTTAATATAATTTTAAGAATAATTTTAAAAAATTAAAATTAAAATATTATTATATTATATTTTTAAATAAAAAATACTTTAAAAATAACAAGTAATATATTCCCCATCGTTATATCCAAATAAATTCGTGTTTCAGACGGCCTGAGCGCCCAATTTTCTCCTCTAAAACAAAGGTGATGGTTTCTAGGCCCCTAGAATCCAACAAATATGAAGCGTCCAGCATTAAATTGGACTTCAGTTGGCCATGAGGCCTCACAGGACCATGCCCGCCGATAGGGGATTTTATAAAAGATTAATTGAACCCCAAACGGCCTTCATGCATCCAGAACCACTTATCACATGAATTTAGGCATAAGAGAATCCAGGACCGGGTAAAATTTTAATTTTTTAAAATATATATTTTTAATTTAGCACCCCTTAATTTTTTCTTCTTGTGTTATAAATGTCAAAGTCTAAATCTTTATGTATTCTTATCACTTTAGTGATTCCTTAATGTTCAATTTGATCAAAATGTGATGAGAATGGCGTGTTTTTATAGGAGAGAAATTAGAACATGAATTCCCTTACGAGACAAGGATTATGGATGAACCTTGAGCTAAATTAAATGGATTGGCCTTTCTTTTAGAAAACCAAGTGGTTTCGCTTATGATCCATACTGAATTGAAATGTGTACCCGATTGTTGACCAAGACCATCTCTCTTTCTCCAGAAAATGCTTGTGATGTGACCTAATGTACTATAAATGGGCAGCAATGGGTTCGCCTGTAAAGCTAGAAATAGAAAAGGAAAAGGAAATTACACTGGCATGGAATGGACTCTTGTGCATGTATTTTATGTGCTCAAGATATTGTAGGCCGATAAGATGACCGGGAAGGTATGGAGGAACATAGCCAACATTTCACTTTCCATGAGCCTGTAGTGCTATTATTTACAGAAATAATAGATGGTGATGCCGATAGAAATCATTGTGCACACAGAAACACAAAAGGACTGTTTACTGTGAAGGTTAAATCACGCTTTTGTCCTTCGAGAAAAATAGATGCTTTTGTTAGGAGAGTAATTCGGTTTTTTTAATGGCTTGTCAGGGGCTATTTTGTCATCTCCTCACTTTTTTAGAATAATAAAATGACTTATTTATTTCTAAAATAAATAAAAAAATCCATTTACATTGGGGATTTTTATCTTTTTCCTTTTTTAGAACAGGCAAATAATTTTTTTTGCCTTTAGAATTGAAAAAATAAAGGATATGTTCATGAATGATTTTATCTTTTTATGTTAATATTTTTTATGATTCTAAAATCATAAACAAAATCATGAAGATATTTTAAACTTTATATACTTAATAATTAATTTTTAATTAAAAAATTATTAGAGTATTTTTCCTCCATTCTTGTGTGTTATTGAAAGTACTATCTAATCCTTTCACTTTTAGTATAGCGTGTAATGATAATTGATAAATAGTTAATTGTTAATGATTATTTTTTTTGTTATATAAATTACATCTTTTTTTTTTAATTTCATCCCTTATATTTTTATTTTTTATTTTTTATTTTCATGGTTGGCATTTTTAAATTTTTTTTAATATTTTTAATTTAATCCATAAATTACAATTTTTTATATCTTATTTTTTTTAATTTAATCCTTATTATTTTGATTTTTGATTTTTTTCCATAATTTTTTTGTTAAAGTTTTGTTGTTTTTAATTTCATCATTCAATCAAAGTTTATATTGTTTTATTTTTTTTTCAATTTAACCCTCATGCTTTTGATTTTTTTTAAAATTTTTTTTCTTTTCAACCTAACTCTCTAATTTAATTTTTTTTGCTCTTTAATTTATTTTTATCTTTACCCTTATTCTTTTAATTATATATTTTTGTATGATTGATATTTCTCAAGTTTTATTCTTCAACGTTTGGTTTGTTAGAAATTAGGTTTCATGATTTTTTATTGATCTAATCTAATAATATGGATCACAAGTTGATATATAGAATTAGAGATTTTTTTTCTCATTTTTTATGATTTTGTATTATTTTTTAAAATAATATTAATTTTTTTATTAGCTTTAATTTTTTTATATCGATTTATCTTGGACTCATGACCTAGTCAACGAGTTTTGCAGTCTTTTTTAAATAGAGGTTTTTTTAAAAAAAATATATATTTTGTGTTGGAGAATTGTTTTTCTTTTATGCATATAAACTTTATTTTATAAAAAATATTTATTTTAAAATAATATCTTTGATATTTCAGGCCTTGAATTATATTTTTTTTTTATTCACTATGTTTCATATATATTTCTATTATATTTTATTGATTTTAATAAAAAACATTAGTATATGCAAACATGTAAATGTCTTATTTCATGAGATTAAACATCTTAATCTATATTTATTTATCAATTTTCTTGGTTTTTTTAGTTATTATTAATAACATTTTTTATATATAATTATTGATTTATTCAATTAAATATTTATATAATTTTTTTTATTTAAACTTTGAGGTTTTTAATATAAAACAATATCAAAATAGCCCATACCCAACTTTTTTTTTTCAAAATGAAAATTACACCTTGTAGTAGAGAGTATGTTAATATATTTTTGAACTAGAAAAATTATTCAAGTTATATTAGGTAAATATTTATATAATATAATTTTTTTCAAAAATAATAAACAATATTTAAATATGTTTTTTTACTTTAATTTTTTTAACTTGATTTACAACTTAACATAGCACGAGCAAATCATTTAATATATTTTATAACGTCTTACCATGACCTTAGCAGAATTCAATCGTTGTTTCCATATTCTAAAATTTTGAATTTGACAAACCTGACAATTGGATACAAGTACGAGCAACATATCACATAGCAATGGCAAGCCGGTGTGTGGCATTGCAATTAAAAAGTGATTTTAAAAAACTTAATACTAATTTTTTTTAAATAAAAAGTATTATTTTAATATATTCTTAAATAAAAATATTTTAAAATACCATCATAAATGTAATTTCAAACACTAATATATTCATAAACTGATCAGCAGGCAAACAGTACTGTGGCTGGGTGAAACCTCGATGAAATGAGTGAGAGACACAGGGTGATGTCGGTCGAAGGCAACAACAAATTTCACTCTCTCTCCATGAAATGTAATTCATTTGCAGCTTGAATTCACATGCATGCATTGTATAGTTTCTTCACTGGACTGAATTCAGAGGGGCAACTACACCGTCATCACCAGTCAATGTCACTGGTGGTGATAAAGAGTTTATTTAGACGAAAGACCGCTTTTTTTT